AACTGTACATCCCACCACCTTGTCCCACTCACTTTCTAGTCTAGGCCGTTGCTGCCGGATGTGTAACACTGGGGATTCTGTAGGAGGAGGAGATGCATCTGGTCTTTAGGTGCTTTTCTTGGAAGAGACACTGTACCTACATCATCTCAGTACCCCCAGGTAGGGGTACTGCCGCACTTTCTCCTTACGGGCCAGGCAAATCACCTCACATATACAATTACGTAGAGGGGCTCCTGGGTGGCTCAGTCAGTTGAGTGTCTGACTCTTGACCTCAGCTCGGGTCATGATCCCAGGGTCATGGGATCTAGCCCCACGTCAGGCTCTGAGCTGAGCGTGGAATCTGCTTGGGATTCTCCCTTCTCTCTCTCTCTCTCTTTCCCTCTTTCCCCTGGTCACTCTCTCTCTCTTTCTAAGAAAAGAAAGAAAGAAATGGAAATTACCTAGAATTTAGCTCATTAAACTTCCCCAATTTTTTTGGTTTGTAATTATTTTTATTTGTTCTTTAACACTAATGATAGTAATAGTACACTATTCACCGATCCTCTGTTTGTGTGTCTTTGGTAATACATTTCCACTTGACAAACCTTAATGTTTGGTTAGGAAATATGTAATCTCATAAGAGCAGATTTCCTCAAGATAAACCACACTTGAAAACAAGTGAGAAGTTTTTGTCTTTAATTTCTGTTTTAGACATGTTATAAACATGCAAATTTATTTCCCAGTTGATTCAATCTGCCACCTCTAAATCTTTAGGGAGAATTACAGAAATGGAGATAAAATCTTGGTAATTTATTCAATTTTATCACTTCTACTGATCCCATAAAAAGACTCCATCTGTCAAATTATCTTTTCTTTAAAAAAAAACAAAAAACCCTTTATAATTTTCTTTATATGGGAATGTTGAAAACGAGTAGTTTAAGTATCTGTGTCATGAAAACTATTGACGTTCCAATAAAATCTGTTCTTTCTAAATTATCTGTTCCTTAGCCTCTTTTGAGAGGAAACTTCAGCTTCTATCATTTGTTTATAATTTGCTCATGCAGCTTGGGATTTATTGCTTTGGGTGAATATATTATGGCATGTTTGGGAAGTGGAGAATAAAATATTCTTATGTTAACATATTCTGTGATTTGGATTCCAATCCATAATCAGTACATCTTTCTTTTTAAAATTTCTGCTGCCTTGGCTTTATTGAAAGCACAAATAGTAAGCATAAAAAGATGAGAAACCTAGTTGAATCCCATCTTTTATCATATATTTTAAACCTTGTTTCTGTAATCCTAGGCTGCGTGAATGCCAATGCACCTGAGCCTCTGGGCCCCATTAGAGAAATACCCCACCACCACCATCATGAGGTTTCTGGTGTCTAATTCTAATTGGGCCCTCATTGTACTAATCTTTGGTTAGCTCTCTCAGGCTCTCAGTGACTATTCCAGAGCTTCACTTTTCTCTTAAAAGGCCCACCTAGGCTTGTGAGATAAAATACATAATGCCCAATTCAATTTGAATTGCAGATAAGGAATGAATAATTTTTAGTGTAAGTATGTCCCTTGCCATATTTAATATGTCCTATATTTTTATTTGCTGGAATCTGGCAACCCTACCCTTAATGTCCTTCTCTCGCAGCCACCTTTGTCTCATGGCAAAATCTGAAGTTGGGGGCTCACGTGGCTCAGTCCCTTAAGCATCTAACTCTTGATTTTGGCTCAGGTTGTGATCTCGCTGCCCCTCCTTTTGCCCCTCCCCCACTCATGGGTGTGAGCATGGGTGTGCATTCACGTGTGCATGCACTCTTTCTCTCAAAATAAGTAAATAAGTAAAATCTGAACTCATTACCACAAACTCCCTCAACTTCCTGCCATCTCCTCTTCAGATTCTCCAACTTTAACACATACACTTACCTGTCTCTCTCCCACCCCAGTGACTAGCCTGTTCGAGACCAGCCTCCACACTGGCCTCTGGACAATTCCTGTGTAAGGTGTCTTAGCACCAAGTCCAGAGCCAGGGGCCGTGCTGAAATATAAATGCACCCTACAGAGCTCAGCACTGGGTGCATGTGTTTAGCGGAGAAGCAGGTTTGAAATGTATGGAGCCAGAAGCTAGTCTACGGAAAACTCTTCCAAAGAGGAAAAGAAGCCTGATGGTTTTCCCGGATTGGACAATAATCTTAAATATTTACACGACATCATCAATAATGGTTGTAATACTCAAAGAAACCTTTCTCAACGATCAATTTTTAAAAGTTTAAACAACTATGCTAGAGGAAAGAGAAAACTGCCTTTCTACTTACTTGACAAAAAGTGATATTGCAAAATCATTACCATAGGAATCATTGGTTAAAACCATTAAGTCACAAATTTAGAGGGAAAGTATTTTAGAGGTCCTTAACAGAGTTTATTTTTTTTTTACTGTGTGACTTTCTAGATTTTTGTGATGTTGTGGTACTTATCAACTTTAAAAAACTTGTAATTATTGTCATTTCTTTTTTCGTTGCAAATAAATATTTTTTAAAGATTTTATTTTTGAGTAATCTCTATACCCAATGTAGGGCTCAAACCCACAACCCCGAGATCAAGAGCTGTACTGTCCAACTAAGCCAGCCAGGTGCCCCTAAATACTTTTGTACGTTGTTTTCTCTTTATAATTTTGTATTTTTTCCCCTTAAAATGGACTCCACTATTGTGTGAACTTCAAGGTCCCATTCAAATCTGGATTCATCTCTGTGTAAAGAAATATCAGAACAGAAAGCACAACTGAGTCATTATTGATCAAGGTGGAAAATTTGTAAAACCCACACCAGGTGGAAAGGGAAACAGACAAAGGATCTAGAAAATCCCTTGAGGGAAACAATCAGTGAACTTGATAAATTCCAGAAATGAAAAGCAAATGCCTTTGGCAGCTCTTGACACATTCCTGGAGTTCTCTTCACTGACAAGTCAGGTTTATTTTGGGAGAAATGGTTCCCTTTCCTTTGTTCAGCCTTCAAGTCACATTCTTCAGGATTCGGTTCTTGTCCTTTCCTCATTACTCCACACAATTAAAAATTAACTACACCATTTCATCTATTCCCATGTTTATAATCAATTCCTACAATCTAATGGTGTTTGACTATCTCTGGGATTCACCTCTCTTTCAAGCTTCATACTCAGAGGGAGCTCTTCAGAGCATTTTCCCAACTCACAATGACCACTCCAGCCACCACCTCCCTGGCAGCCATCTTGTGTGATGTGCTCTGACCTCTAGGCCACAGCTGGTTGAGGAAAGGGCAGTCATCTGATCCAGGCCAGAGTTCCTTTTTCTATAATTTGGAATTAGGAGAGAGAGGCCGAAAATCAGCTGACTTTCCTTCTTCAGAGAGCTGGACATGTAAAGGGTAAGTGAGGTTGAGCTGTGGGCAACAGACTCAAGAGAGGCCAGTGCACAGGCAAAGATAAGGAGCCAGTCAGTGTGCACGGAGAAGCAGTGTGGACTCACGGCCAAAGCAGCGGCCCAACTTTCCAGGTCTTTGTGTCAGAATGTCTCCAAGACCCCATTGACAAGACACCTCTGTATTCCTATAACATGTTTCTCATTTTAGCTTAAGTTAGCATGAACCGATTTCTGGTACTTGGAACCAGAAAGGTACATCTACCTAGTATAGCCACCAGGTCATACACAAACTCAGATTAATCAACCCTGAAGCATTAACAGAGAAAATTCTCTTTCCAGAGGAAATCCTACCATTAGATTTGAGGGCATCTGAGGAATTTTTTCTAGGTAGAATTTTTGGAGCTCACTTCAATTTAATCACAGAAAACTTTACTGTTAAATATCATCAGCTTCATTACAGTCATTTGGATCATAGTCCAGCTGTTTCTTTATGGACATATAACTTCATGTAAATTGGATTTCCCTGTAGGAGATTGAGATTATTCTAACTTTTCCTCGAGTGATAGAATGAGCTGCAAATTGATAAAAATTATCCTTATGAGGTTTACCAATAATAATTACAAGGAATATTTTCCAACATGGCATATTACATTGGAGTGTATGCAAATAAAGCCTTTATTTAAATTTTTAAAGAGTTGCAATTACCTAATGATACAACAACATAGTATTGTTTTGATAATATTTTCATTTTCTAAAATGCCTTTACAACTGCATCTTAAAGAACTTAAGAAAGTGAAGAAAATTAGATTTCCATAAGTGTAAAATATGTGGTAGAGTGGTTAATTTCAAGTTTTCAGGAAAGGGAAACTTTAGAAACTCTCTATATAAGAGCTACGTGCTAGAATCCTAATTGCTACATGATCTAAAAACTGGAAACAACCTAAATGTCCAACAATAGGGTGTTGGTTAAGTATGCCACAGAAATCTAGGTAGTTATTAAAAATGATGTATGCTTATAATTGTTGATGTAGAACTATATTCCCTGGGGGAAAAAAACAGGTTATGAAGTGCCATATTTCAATCCCCTTTTTTATAAAATAAGTAAATAAATAATACTGTATGAATCTGGAGTTTCAAATGATGTATGCCAAAATGTAAACGCTTTTCTCAGGGTAAAGGAAATACAAGTAAATTATTTGAATTTCTATATTTTTGTATTATCTGTTTTCTTAAAACAATGTACACTTATTACTTCCATAATTAGAACCAATAGTAGTATTATTTTTATTTTAAAAAATCTCAGGGCGCCTAGGTGGTTCAGTTGGTTGGGTGTCTGACTTCAGCTCAGGTCATGATCTCACAGTTCGTGGGTTTGAGCCCCACATCAGGCTCTGTGTTGACAGCTAGCTCAGAGCCTGGAGACTGCTTCGGATTCTGTGTCTCCCTCTCTCTCTGACCCTCCCCTGCTCACGCTGTCTCTCTCTCTCTCTCTCTCAGAAATAAATAAAACATTAAAAAAATGTTTTTAATAATAAAAAAAAACTCAAGTTCAAGGGTAGAGTCCAAGAGTTTTGATGTAGAAGGAACATTAAAGTCTTACCTAATCCAACTTCCCCAACTTCCTACTGCCAGGGCTCTCCCACTGCCTCACAACTCAGCATCTGCCGCCATCCCTTTGGTTCTGCTCTGTAACAACTCAGTCCGTTTAAGCTCTGCTCCAAAGGAAAGATAAAGGAAAGATGATGCCTTTGAAATATTAAACCAAAGTAATTTTTATTCCCCATAAGTGGTGCTGTCCTATGACCCCTCACTCGTTGAATCAATGAGCTTGACTACTTCAGGGAAAGGCTGAATACTTAAGTAGAACAAAGTCATTACTCAGCTTAGAGTGTCAAACTAAATTTCGTAAGTTCACAGCAAGATAATTCCAGGCTTTGTTAAGAGAAAAAAGGGTTTTGCCTAAATTCAAAAAGTTTTCTTTTTCAGCATTTAAAGAGCAAAGCTCAGGGGTCTTAGCACAGAACTTCATGCAGCTTGGGTCTTCACACTGGTGTGTGTGTACTTCTGAGAGCCCACGAAGATTTGCTAAGGGATGTGTGGTCGCTGGGCATTTCAAGGGAACAGTCTTCAGAATGGCTCACTTCCCTGTGTATTATTTCCTAAAATTCACCTGCTTTCAGAATTTGTAGATTAATCTGCTTTTTCTAAGCATCCTCCTTCTTTATGAAAGAAAATCATACATCTCATTATCCAGAATCCTAAGGGTACAACAACCTTTGGGTCACCAAGTGCCTGGACAGTTGGAAACTGCATGCCCCCAAGGGAGGGATCTCTGGGAGCAGGACCGGGTAAGCTCCCAGGAAAATGCTGAGGGCCATGGGGGCCTTATTTCATCCAGGGTGTCTCGTCATGCCTGGCTAAGTGCCTCATCTATTTCTCTCTGTTTCTATGGATTAGAATTCAGAAGTGATATGGTTGTCATGAGGACTTACATTGAAACATTGATTTAAATTGAGAAATAAAATCTAGACCTGTCCTGACGGAAAGTATGGTGGATTTGGCTGACTGGCTACATAACTGAAGCTGACTTTCCCAGTTACGGTTCTGTGTGGTTATTTTCCATGTGTTGAATGAGCAAAATCTAATGTTCTAAGGTTTTAACAAAAATGTATTTAGATCATACGTACAACATAAAATACATCAGAGATAACATCTTTTGTTACTATTAAATGGAGATAAAAATGTTCAGATGTCAACCTAAAAATTTGGAAGTTTTAGAGAATTCTTTGAGGGTGTGAGAGGAAAAAGTTTGCTAAACAATAGTGCAGGGAGGCAGGGTAAGATGGGAATCCATTTGGGGTTAGACGGGAAGTGAAGGTGAGGTGAAGGGCAAGAGGTCATCTGTCAGTGTGGGAGCTCCCTCTTCCACCCCCGCCTTGGGGCAAACCTTAATATCCAAGAGCCCATGGGAAGTAGGAAGTACTTGGAATAAACAGATAAATTTGAGAGAATCCAAAGCACAAGGACCTATTTCTTACCTCCCAAGACAGTAGCTCAGGAAAACCTCAAGCATCTTAGCCCACATGAAGTAACTCCGGCACAGTGGAAATGGTGGTAAAATATCCTTAAAAGAGAAATCACTGAGAGACCACCAGCCCTGACTCCCTGTGGCAGTCACATGATGTGAAAGAAATTCCCACAACCCTACAAGACCCACTGAGGGGTATACAAGGTGACTAGGAGTTAGAGGAAGGTGGCCCTCCCCCCTTCTCCTTTCTGGGCCCTGATATCATCCAGGAAGAAGAAAGGAGGTCAGATGCTGAAGGAAACCTGAAGGAGGCAATTCTTTTTTTTTAAGTTTATTTATTTTTAGAGAGAAAGAGAGTAAGCACAGTCGGGTAGGGGTAGAGAGAGAGGGAGAGAGAATCCCAAGCAGGCTCCATGCTGTCAGCGCAGAGCCCGACATGGGGCTCAAACTCCTGAATCATAAGATCATGACCTGAGCCGAGATTAAGAGTTGGACGCTTAAACGACTAAGTCACCCAGGCGCCCCAAGGAGGCAGTTTTACACCAGGTGTAGGACTCCTACCTCGTATCCGTGAGTCACCAAATAATTTACACAGGTAACAGCTTTTTCATTAGAGCAATATATATAGTTATTGAGTTTTATAGCTTGAAGGAACTTGAGAGATTGTTGGCCCTTTGCTCTCATTTGACAAATACGGAAAATAAAGCCCTGAGTGATAATGAGCTGGTATCAGAAGTGGTGATTCCCATTGGCTCACCTTAAGACTGAGTCTTTGGTAGTCCTTTATGGCACCAGCCTTCCAATGCTTTTTAGAACATCCATTCTCCGCACTCAGTTTGGATGCTCTGCAATGTGTTCAGAATACCTTCAGTTTGGCGGAGCTGCTGATATCTGCAGAGTAGGCAGGAACACCAGACATTTTACACTAGTGTATAACTGTTCCTGAAGAGAACAAGGGTGAAATGAACTTCGTAAACATTGGTATTAGGAATCATGAAACCACTTCATTGTAGGACTGGTCAAGAGAACCTTCTGCAATTCTGGAAATGTTCTATATTGGCACTGTCCAATTTTGTGGCCACTGGCTGTGAAGGCTTTTGAGCACTGGAAACATGGCTAGTATTACTGAGGAACTGAATTTTAAATTTTATTCAATTTTAATTAATTTTAACTTATACATGAATAATCACATGTGGCTAGCAGATTCTGTATTGGACAGTAAAGCTCTAGAATATTCATAAAAATGAGGTTCCTCTTCTTTTTCATCACAATTATCAGGAAATTGGTTGGAGCCTTTCATTTTTGGCCTATATAACAGTGTTTGCCTCAGAGCTTTTACCTCCCTGTCTTGAGGAGATAATATTTTTATATTATGCCGGAACAACAGTCATTCTCTGAAAGATCAAACATGTTTCTTTGAGGGTCCAAGTTTGAGAATAAATCTTAGTCACTAAACCATGATTTTCAAAATTAAATTCAGCTTTAAGGGCTTTAACTTCTAAGTAATGTTTCCCTAATTCCCCTACATTTTCAGGTGACATTGTGTCTTCAGTACTACTATCTATTGCTGCATAACAATTTATCCCAGAACTTTGTGGCTTAAAACATCAACATAGTCATTATCACAAGTTTCTGAGGATCTGGAACCAGGGCACAGCTTAGCTGGGTTCCTTGGCTCAGAGTCTCTCAAGAGGCTGCAGGACTATAGTCATCTCGAAGCTTGACCAAGGGAAGATGCACCTCCAGACGCCCTCCTACAGCTGTGGGCAGGCCTCAGGCCCTGGCTGACGGTTGACTGGAGGCATCAATTCCTTGCCATGCAAGGGTATTACTCACAACATGGCAGCTGGCTGGTGGCCGCTCCCCACTCCTTGCCACATGGGCCTCTACACAGAGCAGATCACAACATGGCATCTTATTTCATCAGAGAGAAAGCCAGAACAGCCAAAGAAAGAATGGGAGCAAAAAGCCTGCTCTTTTGTAACCCAATCTCAGAAGTGATGTCCCATCACTTTGCTGTATATTGTTAGAAGTGAGTCATTAGGTACAGCCCGCCCTCCAGGTGAAGGAATCAGACAAAGGGGTGGACACCAGACAGGAATCATTGAGAATAATGTGAGAAGCTGATTCCCACACCTACTTTAAAGAAGGCTCTTTTTCTTGCTGGTCTAGTCAATCCTAATCTTCACTTCAGCGTCAGCTCTACCCAGAGTCAGAACATGGGTGTGTCCAAGGTCACCCACCTAGCAAGTGGGGGAACTAGACCTAGAATCCAAGTGTCCTAAGTTCCTGATCAGTCCTCTACATGGAGCCCCACAATGTCAAGCAAAAATATTTTTACTTTAAAACACAGACACTAAGGTTTCTAAACAGAAGAGTGCTATGACAGAAGTGATTTTTAAAGAAGACTTTAGTATGATGTAAAGCAGATTGGAGAGGGAAAGACTGGAAATTACATTAATTCCAATTTATTTACACTAAGCATATTTATGGCTGACAGTTTTGTAGTTTGTGATTATAAAGACATCCCGTGTGTTTTCGTAAGTCCTAATAAAATGGTCCTTGAAAGACTTATTTGGGCCAAAAATATATCAAGTAAAATGCTACATTGGAAGGTATATGACCAAGTTTTATAATACACAATATTTTCACATGTGCACATTGAAATAAACTCTAAATGTTATCTCCGGTGAATTTCCACAGATGATGTTTTCTACTAACAGGAAGCTCCCAGGAGAGTCAGGACTCAAAAACCCTGACAGAAGATACTGTAGTCTGTAGAATATTTTAAAGTACTATCCTAATAAGACTCTACCTCCAGCCATGACAATAACACACAAATGTGTATTTAAATGAGTAGAATGGTGTGGAAAAGTCTCCTATTCATCCATCAAAAGTCACCCTCTCCATCTTCTTTTAATAGTAAATTTTCTAAGGTTTAGCTGGACACATTGCCTTGTCAAGACTACATTTCCCAGCCTCCTTTACAGTTAGGCACAGTAGACAGAGTTCTGACCAATGGGTATGAGTAGAAGTGATCATTTCTGGTTGTGTCCTTAACTGGGAAATGTATGTGCTCCTCTTACTCCTTCTCCCCTCCTGACTGGGTGGTACTCAGATGTGATGACAGGAAATGGGAGTTGTCGGAGGCGAAAGCTTCCATAACAGCCTTGAACTATTTACCTCTAGAAATTTCCGGGGCAGTTAAAATTTTCTTTCTTGCCTTACTACCTGTGTTTTGGAGTCTCCATATTAGAGAAGTTTAAACTATAACTTAACTACTACAATAACTATCCACCTTTCCTTTATCTTGGTTTTCTACTTAAAGTAATGACAGACACCCAGACAAAAGTGATAAGGAAAAGGGATGTATTGGGCCATAGTAAATTCTTGTTATCCTCTCTACTTACCTGGGAAGCTACCAGGATCATAACGGTAATAACAAACTCCTAATCATTCTTGCTATTTGACTTTACTCCCTCTCTTCATTAGCAAATAATTAAAGAAGCAATAATATTACAAGCTCAGACTTACTAATGAGCCAAGGGTGCCTTTAAGTTTCCCTTTCTCAGGGCTGACCAGGGTCAGGGACTAGAGATCTATACAGTTTGGGATTGCTAAATGTTTAACACTGGCTTCCTAGGGAAAAACAAGCCCCAGTTGGTGGGTTTGCCAAATTCCATGGTGTAAATACTTCCACCATGGCTGATTTGAAGCTAGGAATATGAGAAGAAATGGTCACATCTGCACCTTGCAAAGTAATACTAGCTGGCTCCAGAGCACTGGGCTCCATCTATCTGTTGCCTCAATCTGGGACCACCCCCTGATTTCCTTACGCTCTGGAGGAGGATGCTACATTTACAGTGCTATGCACTAGGAACAGCAAAGACAACGTGGGGTGTGGCTCTGATGCCCTCGGAACTGCAACTGGGGCCTGACCTTCATCTGATTTATGATGCTCCTGCAGTAACATTTCATCTTTTTGGTTCCAGTCAGTGTTTGGTAAACTTGATGACACACTGGAAACACTGGGGAGCTTTAAAAACTAGCAATGCCTGGGCTCTAGTCTTCGAGAGTCTGGTTCAATTGATCTGGGCCTGGAGTGTAAAATGCAGATATTTCAATGTGCAGCTAAGGTTGAGAACGGCTGGTTTAAAGTAGTAGACTCTTTCTTTACATAGACCCCTTATTTATCCCTTGTTTGCTTTTGGCATAAAAAGGAAAAGTCAAACTAGATAGCCTGGAAAAAAGGGAAGAGGTCAATGGCAAGGCCAGGACCATTTTCTTAGTGAAAGAAAAACCTGAGCAGAAGAGGTCTGTGTTCTGCCTCCTCTATGGGTCCTAGAAAGAACCTTAAATATTACTTTTCTGCACCCTTAAAAAACACACACACACAAATGAGCCTTCATTTTTAATTAAAAATGTAAGTAACCATAGGAAATGCTGAAATCCTAGGAAGCTGTTATAGATCACTGAGTAATCTCTTTATGTTTTGAATTTATATAACAAACTCGTAGCTTCATTGTGAAATCTGGTTCAATTTCTTTCCATCCACATTAGAAGTAGATGCTAAATTTCCTGCTATTTAGAAGTCAGCAGACAACTAGGTTGTGTAGTTTTTGACCACTAAGTTAACCTCTGCAGTAAGTTATGATGAGAATTTTAACAAATTGATAGAATTGCTAGTTTACTAATGCATCATCCTTCATGAAGTATTATTTCATACAATCATCACTACACATCTATATGTACATACACAGACAATACAAGCAGGACACGAAGAATCTGTTGAGCCCAGCACCCGATCAATAGAGGGGCAGCATGTGATGGCGGAAGAACACAGGAACAGGAAGTCTGGGGGTCAGCTTGACACTGCTCATGTCTCATGCAGTTTCCTGAGTCATAAAAATGAGCACATAGAACAGGCTGACTTTGGCTTCTTCACCTTTAAAAAATATTTTTTTAACATTTATTTATTTTGAGAGAGAGAGACAGACAGAGCATGAGCAGGGGAGGAGCAGAGAGAGAGGGAGACACAGAATCCAAAGCAGGCTCCAGGCTCTGAGCTGTCAGTACAGAGCCTGACCAGGGGCTCAAACCCATGAGCAAGATAATGAATGACCTGAGCCAAAGTTGGACACTCAACCGGCCAAGCCACCCAGGCGCCCCAAGGTCTCTTCAACTTGAATATTTTGATAAGGTATCCTGAGACTGCAATCTATCAGAGTGTCGATCAACCACACAGGTTCAAAGAACCACATAGGTTCTTTCCAGTAGGTTTGGCTGACATCGACAAACTCTGAGAATGCGTGTCTATGTCTAGGGCTTTTCTGTCCTGAGTTTATATTCATCCTGAATCAGATATCGCAAATAAATTTCATCTCCAGGTCCAGTCCATTCGACCAGTAACGATCTCCCAAAGCACTGTGTGGAGAAGGCTTCTGAAGCCAGGTGTAGACTCGGTGGGAGTTAAGAGTGCCGTGAGAAATGAAGATTGTCTTGTGTCTGAAAGGGGTAAAACAGCAATACAGCCATGCCATGTGCTATCTGTGCTCCTAATCTTTTCATTTAGATCAGTGTTTTCTTCACCTCCCGCCAGGTACTTTGGAAGTGAAATGAACTTTGGGACTCTGTACTCTTGCCACCTTCCGCTTGGGAAATTTAGTCCATTATCAAAGTGGGAAAGGATCTGAAAGTAATTCAACCCAAACACTTGGCTACTTACTGAGTCTTTGACAAGCAGCTTCAATTTAGGTAAAATCTTTATAATAACCAAACAACCAGCAGTTGATTCACTTCAACAACTGATTTATTTAAAGAAAAAAAGACGTTATTTAATATTGTTTTGACTAAAACAAAAAAAAAAATGCTTTTTGATTCTTTGGCTTTTAAGCTGGTCCCATTAGACACAGTCTGAAAGATAACAGAAATCGTGACCTTCC